TGACTTTAGTTTTTAAAACATTTCCTAAATCTATATGATTTTAGAAGAGATTCTTTAAAATAGATGAACTTTGAAAAAAATATTTTAGTATATGTGTGTGTATATGTATGAGTGTTTATGTGTGTGTGTGTGTGTATTTGTGTGTGTGTGTGTGTGTGTATTTGTGTGTGTGTGTGTGTTTGTGTTTGTGTTTGTGTGTTGGGTGTGTGTGTGTTGGGTGTGTGTGTGTATGTGTATGTGTATGTGTGTGTGTGATACGATCCTAGTACAATGAGAGTACAAACTCAATTTTATATTTTTTATCCTTTAAAAATAATTAAACAATAAAGCACGTGATCACATGCGAACTTTTAATTGTTGGCTTTCTTTTTTATTGAAGTTATTTAGGTTGCACCAATCACGGGAAACTTCTCATTTATTTTATTTATTTCAATTTTTCTTATTCATTTGATGATGTTTACGATTTTTCCTTTGTTTTCTTTGTCATCATCAAAATATTTAGCATACATGTTCAACACATAAACCTTAGATAGTTGAGAAGGATTGAATGTATCAAGAGGGGGAAATGAGATTAGGGGAAACCAAAATGGAAATAAATATAGGTCTAAGTACACATGATTCCCTTTTTATAAAATCAGTCACTTCAAGAAGGATTCTCTCTAAAGTGAGATTAAAGGTGATCCCGTTCACATTGTGGTTGACATAGATGAGGATGATTATGATAGTGTTGGTATGGTAGTGTTAACGAGTTCAAAGATATGGAAAATTTAGGTCATGGACTTTAGATTCTCTTATCACATATGCCCAAGAAAAGAATACTTTGTGACTTTGGAGTTAAAAAAAGGTTAACTCGTCTGAATCAATAATAATAATAATAATAATAATAATAATAATAATAATAATAATAATAATAATAATAATAATAATAATAATAATAATAATAATAATAATAATAAGGCTTATAAGGTTCATGATATTTGAATAGTCCAGTTCAAGATGTTTGACAATTGTGAGTTCCTTTTATGCATCATTAGAGAGTCAAGACCTTCATTAATAAAATGAACTATGTTATTTGAGATTATAATATGTTAGTGAAATATGTTTGATTGAAATATATAAGCAAGGTTTTCTAGTTACTGAATAGTTAAACAATCTATAATTTTAAGATCATTACATACTAGGAAAATAACACACAATTAAGTTTAGGAGTGATATGAACAATTCAAGTAAACCAGCTGAAAAAGTTCACTCAGACCTTTGGGGTCTGACAAGTGAGACAACTCTTGGAAGATGACTTATATTTTCTAGCTATGTCTGATTATTTATTTAGAAGAGCATGGGTTCATATTTTGAAACATAAAAATGACATGTTTGAAAATTTTAAGAAATAACATACTCTTATATGGAAATCAATTGGAAACTAGACTAATTTTTTTTAATGAATTTACAATGGTCTAAAGTTTGTTTTAGAGAAATTTAACAAGTTCAGGATAAAAATGTAAAAAATAAATATAATTGTAGTTGGCACACCACAACAAATGACCTAGTTGAACACATGAATAAGACACTTTTGGAGCAAGTAAGGTGCATGCTATTACGAGCTGACTTAACCAAGAAATTTTTGGAATAATTTTTTTGCAATAATGCCTTATTTGATCAATGAATGTCTATCCACATGTATAGGATTCAAGACACATATGGATGCTTGGACAAGGAAACTATTATAGTACTCTAATTTAAATGCTTTTAGAGCTTTTGAGCTTATGCATATAAAACAAGACAATCTTGATGTTAGATATGTGAGATGAGCATTCACTGGTTATCATGAATGTATGAAGGGATATAAGTTATGAAAGATGGAATCTAGAGGATAAAAGTTTGTTGTAGGAATTCATTTTAATTTTATGAGACATGCATGTGAATGAAGTACGAAGACCTGGAAGTGAAAGACTCATAAACTAAAGTATATCGTACTAGGTTTGGAAGTTGGTTCCTACAAGTGAAATTAGAGATGGGGAGGATTTTAAGGCTCATGCCTATAGTTCTAGAGAAAGGCAACTTGTAAAGGCTCTAGACTCTCATTTGATTAGGGATATGGAATGTAGGGTGATAATAGGACCTCGAAGTTATGACTATACTGATTTAATTTGTTATAGTCTCAAGGTGTCATACAAATACCTTCAAAGAGACATTTGAATCAAAGAGGATCATAAGTGTTTTACTTAAGTAGAGAGTATCGACCATAGTGAAATATTTTCACCTAGGTTAAACATTATTTTATGTTGTTCAGAGCAACTATAAATTAGAAAGAAAATCAACAATTCACGGTTGCTTTATCTATAACTCAAGTTAAGTATATTTCCCTAGTTGAAGGGGTTGAGAAACTCATTTGGTTATGAGTTAGAAAATCACTCAAGCATATGCAAAGATACATTGTGATAGTCTAAGTGAAATCTATTTGCTAGTCATTAAGTGTATCATGAGAGGACAAATCACATTGGTATTTGTTTGCACTTTTTTTGATACATGATCAAATCAAAGAAGATTGGGATGGAGAAAGGCTCTTCAGAAGATAATCTAACAGATGTATCTACCAAATCATTACCTAGATCAATATTCAAGCATTGTATGAATTTGATCAATTTTGTCAAAGAATGATTATAAATTAGAGAGAGCATCAAAGTTGTTAATTAGTAAATTGTCATTACCATCAATAGTTTAAAGGAGGGTGGAAAATTATGGAGTGTGCCTTACGAAATGTAGGTTTTTCATTATTTGGATGTTACCCCCACTACAAGAAAAATGCCCTACACCCACGGTCACTTTTTGAAACTAACATGTTTTCCCTACGGATGTAAGAGACCATCACTAAAACAAGGTCTATATAATTTATTTATATTTTATATTATTATTTTAATTCTACGAGCTAACAAAATAAAAATAAAAAATTCACAAAAAAAAACTCACTCAGTTCTCTCCCTATCACAAAACTCACCGAACACTCTCGCTCAAAAATACAAACCCTAAATCGTTATTTCTCATCTCCTTCTATCACCTAACAATTCATCTCAATGATTCTTCCATGAAATTCTCAATTTTTTTATCACCGTCTCCATTTCCCTGATTCTCTCACCGTTGATCTTAGAGATAAGCTCTAGAATTATCTATTTCGATTTCACTATTATCAGAAGAAGATGATGCCAAAGTCGAAATTGAAGGTGTTATTTTCATGATTTATGTGGAGATCTTGCAACGACTTTCTTCTGGAAGCGTGGTAATGATTTCGACGACGACACTTCATCTACCTCTACACATATTCTGGATCACAAGCCATTGATCTGAGTGATTATCTCTGTAATTACATGTAGATTGGGTATTAAGGTTACTTCTCAATCAAATACTGCTTACATATTTGAGGAATTGTGCATTGGATGCGGTATTTGTGTTAAGGTATTGAAGATTTTGTTATCCTGTTGTTAGATTTGTTTATTGTTGATAGATAATAGGTGTGAGGTGTATATTGGTTATGCATTTGTTTGTTGGTTATGCATTGGTGTAGGAATGTCCTTTTGAAGCTATCAAATTATCAACTTACCTAAGGATTTGAACAAAGGCACCACTCACATATATGGTCCTAATACTTTTAAGCTTCACAGGTGTGAAATTTAGCTACATTTACCTGAGAAGTTTATGTTAGTATTTTTTTTAATTAAAAGAGTTGTAATTGTAGGTTGGCGGTTCCAAGGTCGGGGAAAGTGCTTGGTTTGGTTGGGACAAATGGAATTGGAAAGTCCACCACCCTCAAAGTTTTGGCTAGAAAGTTGAAGCCAAACTTGGGTTGTTTCACTGTAAGAACCAAATTAGTTTTTTATGGGATAAAAACATGTGAGGTTTTATTGCATTCATTTTAACTTAGCTTTTAGTTTGTAGAATCCTACTGATTGATAACAAATTTGATCTATTTTTGAGACTCTAAATAGCAGAATCACTTTACTCGCATTCTAGAGGATGATTTGAAGGTGATGTCTACTTATTTAATATCATTATGTATATGTGCTTGAGATATCTTAATGATTTATACTTGGTGGTTGTATGAACAATGATTATGTGTTTCTATAACTTGTAATTTGTTTTTGTTAGAAGTTAGTTTTTTTGTATACTTTTTATTCTTTAACCAAACTATTTATTAATTATTATGAACCTCACGGATAATTTCCTTAATTGAGAATGGGTACTCTGATTCATAGTTTATCATGTTGACATTGACTGGGATATATTGTGATTGTGATTTGTGAGTGTGGAATTTCTATGTAGAAGTAACTACTAGTAGGTGACTGGTAAGAAACTACAACTTATATAATTTTTACAGACCTGGGAAAAATCCTAGTTTACCTTTGATAGTGTTAGTTTATTATCAACCATATCATCAAAGTACTTCACTATTACAGATTGGAAGACCTTATTATAGAGAATACATTGTTTGGAAGCTTTGAAATATGTACTTAATTATTATCTTTGTCCCTGTATGTAAGACCATATTGGTCAAAACACAAGAATTAAGAAAACTAGTTTTTTTTTCATTAATTAGATTTGTCAATAATGTACATTCTTGCCACAATGGTTTATCTTTTAATTCTTTTTATATAACTAGGGGTATTTTTTGTGAAAAAAATAATTAATGCCTCTATTGAAGTTTGAAGAGGGACTATAAAATTTTACTAGAGGCTCTTATATACAAGGAGAGAGAGAGAGAGTATATATGATTTTATGTTTCACTATTGATTCTATACTAGAAGTAAATGTAGCATTATAACAATCACTTCATAATCCCTTATTTTTTATAAACATTTTTATGTTCACTTGATACCCTAGCATTTGTTGTTCTTACATTTTTATGAATGTTCATTCATTTAAATCGAGTTATTTTTGAAGTTTGCCTTCATGAGATTGTGTGTCATTTAAAAAAGTTTTTCCTTTTGGCTTCTAAATGTGCATATTCAATGTGTGTTATAATACAAGCTATCATCAAGCCTCAGTATGTTGATCATATTCCAAAAGGAGTGCAAGGGAATGTAGGGAAGGTTCTAGACTAAAAGAATGAGAGATATGAAGGAAGAGCTTTGTACTAATCTTGAGCTTAATCAAGTTATAGATCGTAATGCTGGTGATTTTTCCGGGGGTGAGCTCCAAAGGTTTGCGATTGCGGTTGTTGCCATCCAAAATGATGAGATATACATGTTCGAAGAACCTTATAATATCTTGATGTGAAATAGAAGCTGAAAGCTGCTCAAGTTGTCCGATCATTGCTAAGGCTTAATAGGTTTGTTTATTTTCTCTCAGTAGTTTCAACTTTAAGTATTGTCAATATTGCTATGTGCGCTCTCATTGTTTTCTGATCAAGATAAATTTTGATTTTATTTGCAATCTTCTTTTTTCCAGCTACGTAATTGTTATTGAGCATGATCTTATTGTCTTGGACTACTTATCAAACTTTATTAACTGTTTGTATGGTAAACATGATACTTATGGATTCATAACTCTTCCTTTCTCAATTTTGATCTAATAATAGAAAATATATCAAAGGTATGAATGCGATATATTTGTGACTGTAGTGGATCTGGTTTCCCTTCACAGAGCAACTTCAAGTTTACTGAGTTCACTATCCGAGTTGTCTCTTCCATGCAACTCGGTATCGACCTTTCCGACTAACAGAGTAAGCAATTCATCAAAACCACCACACGAGTTCAATAAGGTAGTGGGAATGAAACGAAATAACGACGACTTTGAACACGTTATTTTTTAGGTGAATCAATCACTCTTTCTCATAATTTTTTAGTGGCAACTACTTTACTTCAATGTGAATTCTTCAATTTTCTCGTTTTTGCTAGAATGAGAGGCACCGTGTGAGGTTGGCTTCACAGAGCAACGACTACCCTCGACTCTCAATAGTGGAGGGATTACAAGCCACCGCACCTCGAGTCCAATATAACCAGTGAGCCTAGCCACTTGAACCACCACTTTTTGGTTCACAATATAGCCTGTATGATGCTAGTTGAAGTGCATTATATGTGGACCTTATAGTATGTCATATCTTGTTGTTTCTGTTTTCATAATTAAGTTACAAATTTGGAATTCTATTGTGCGTAAATATTTCTAGTCTCAAAGTCTTTCTTGTTGCTTTCGCACCACATACGAGTTAGACATGTGGTGATATTAGCTATATAAATCTGTCTATACCATACAAGATGCATAAATTACAATCAATGCCTCTTTATCACCTCAATTCTCTATAGTCTATATATCTCTGATCCTTTTCAATTTTTCTCTTTTAGTTGGGCTAATCTTTAGTTTAGTATTTGTGGATAATGATAAGATAAGCCACCGCATTTTCATTTTGTGGAATGCAAGTGTGTTGTACCCCAAAATTTGTCCTCTCACTTATCAAGAATTTCCTAACAAGATCCCTTTGACTCAAGACTGGATTAGGGTTTGATCAACTTAAGACACCTCCTCATGCACTGATGACCAAAATTAGGGTTTGAGTTTGCACAAGGGTTTTTGGATTGTCAATGCTTCATATGACTTTCAAGGATCATTATGGACCCCCAAGATTACTCATGTCAAGTTTCAAGCCTTGAATCACACTTTTGACCAGTCAATTGGACAGTTGACCTGAAAATCAATTGTATTGGGGAAAAAGTCAACCATGGTCAATTTTAAGTCAAACTTCATAATTTTTGATCCACATCAACATCTTAGACTCATATGTATCATTTGATCAAGTTTTGACCATAATTCCTCAAGAAATTTGATCAAATCATCAAAAGGGCAAAATGGTCAAAATTAGGGTTTTGACTGAGAAGGGGCAATTTTTGATTTTTGACCTAGCAAATGATCAATTGGTTTGAAGCATGATTTTAAGAGTTCAATTGCATCATCTTGACCTAATGACATGATTCAAAACATTACAAATTCATTGAATTGACAGATGAATTTTCCAGTCAACTGATCAAAAGTCAACTGTATACTGAAAAGTCAAACTTTGACTTTTTGGTTAAATTCAAGTGCCAAGGATCACAATTCATCAAAACATGTCAAAAATGTGAAACTTGTTCGTCAATAAATCAAGGATTGAAGATCTTGTTTTGAAATTTGAAATTTCTTAACTTAGAAATTTTTAGAAAATTTCTTATTTTTTCTCAACTTTAGGCCAAATTTTCACCATGATACAAAATGATTCAAAGGAAGTTCCTAACATGAAAGTTGTAGATCTCCATGAAATATACAACTTTGCTTCACACAATTTCTCCTAAAGATGCTTGGATCTCAAGATATAATCTTGTGAATACATGCTCATGAACTAAAATAACTTTGTAAAATTTTGCCATAGTTAGGCAGGTTTTTGACCTAACTTCATGGCAACTTTTCACCTAATTCCAAGAGGAATTTTCAAAAGCATTTCAGAGATGGGTTGTAGAGAACATTACAAGATTTCCAAAATGTTAAAGAAATCCTTGATATCCTTCTTGAGTAGGGAGAATCGAAGAGATGAAGTTAGGGTTTTATCACTTTGATTATAGGTCATTTTCATGAAGAACAAGTTTTTAAATTTGCAAATTGGTTGTACAATCTTCACTTTGCAGGCCTCAAACTCGCTTGTCACTCCACCATTAATGGATTGCACAAGGTTTCATGCCCTAAAGCCAAGCATTCAATGCATTGTATAAGAAAATAGCCATTTTTGGAAGAAAGGCAACATTGCCATTTTGAAAAAACATGCTTTTTGAATTTTTCCATTTCTTTAGCCTTGGACTTGTTCTTTCTGCACAAACCAAGCCTATAAACCTGAACAAAACATGTTTAAAGCTTCAAGCCACCCTACAAGATCAGAATCATGCCTTAAGAAGTCACTTCTCACACTTGTTTCAAAAACAAGAAATGTAGCAAGACATGTGATCTTGTACTTCTGAGCAAGCACAAGTCCTCCAACCCGTTGCTCTATATAAAACCATCATTTTGCAACTAAAACCACGGATGCCCAAGCCTTGAAACACCCTAAAATCAGAAGTTGCATACCAAGCCTCTAAACTTGCCATTTCTGACTTGTGAACTGAATCTTCCATTTCACTCGTGTGTTTTCAGGCCTTTTGCTTTCCCAAGCTTCCTTACCTCACAAGTAAACCATCCCACACCCTGAAACATCACTGTAACTCCATCTTCCCCATTGTTGAAGTTCAAAAACAGAGCAACACATGTGGACTTCTCCAGACCATTCCAGCCACCCTCAAGACAAGCTAAGCATTGCATTAGCTTCCTAGAGGTTCAAGGAAGCTAACCTGATCATCACTGCATCCTAAAGCAAGCTCATTTTCAAAACACGATTTCCATTTTCAAGGTGAATTTTTTGTTTTTCTAACTCTTAATACAGACACAGTTAGCTATCCATTTGTGAATATAGAATGTAGACATCATTGCTACGAAGCTGTACATATCCATAGCTTGCATTTATTTGGCTTGAGTTTAGAGAATTTTAAGTTTGAAGTTTCTGAAAAAATTAGGTTAAGAATTAGGGCCAACAAAATTCCCTCTGATCTTGGACTTATAGTTTTAGTTATGCACATGGTTAGAATCGTGAGGTAAAATGCTATAATGTTCATGTTATCACTTTCCATTTTTGTTGAGAAATGAAAAAGTTACAAGGGGTCCGGCTGGCTAGAGGTTAAAGATGAAGTACAGGGCAAGACAATGTTTTGTGTTATGTATTTGTGTTTTCATTTAAACTAACAGATGTACAACCATCCCAGTGGTAAGGCAGCGCGCGTAAATGCCATAGGTCATGGGTTCGAGCCTTGGCGTTGCTTTTTGCAATTTTTCATTTTTCCATTTTTTTTATTTGTTTGCCAGCGTGGCTTCTAAACTTATGGGCTTTATTTTTTTCTAACCTCCTACCCCTGTTTTCTTGCAGCACCCCTGGCCCATATAATTTTATTATTTATTTCATTTTCATTTCTATTTTATTTAATATATTTTCCTTAATATAAAAAATCATAAAAAAATATAAAAATGCTAAATTTAATTTTGGTTCATTTTATTTATTTTTCTCATAGAAAATATTTTATTTTAGTTACATATCATATTTTTTTTTTAATAAACTTGTAAATTAAATTATAAATAGTTTGATAAAAAAATATCATATATTATTTTTCAAGACAAAAAATGCAAAAATACTTACTTTTTCTCAAAGAAATTTATTCCCTTTTGATAAAATAGAATTAGGGTTTAATCAAAATCCTTTCCAAAAATAATTTTCTTTCTCAATTAATTTGAGTTTAATCTTGATTTATTTATTAGGTTTAGGTTAAAACTTTTTTCACATAAAAAACCAAACAAAATCTTCTTTGCATTCATACATCTTTGCATATTTAATTTATCTTGTATATTACTTATTCTAATATTTGTACATATTTAATTTGGTTATAATAGCTTAATTAGGTTTATATTATTGCAAATCCCCATTCATAATTTGTATTCCCCCCTCCCACAAATGTTGTAATAGCGTAAGACATTTAAATTTCGTAATCTATCGCCTTTTATATAACATGCTAGTAATTAGGGTTTGTATGGAAAGATAAAATCAATCAAATAGAAAACCCTAATCCAAGACAAAATCAAGCATGAAAATGACATACTTGCACACAAGCACCTCTAGGGTTACTCCATTTGGTTGCCTTATACAAAATATCCATATTACGCATCCAAGATGTCTTAGTAAAAACAAACAAATATAAGATCATAGTCCCTCGATGACGCTATTCAAAGTTGCCTTACAAAATGATCTTAGTCCCTCAAAAATGCTAAGATACCTTGCAAAATTGCTAATCATGGCTATACGATGACCCACGCCCGCCCTGCTTACATCCAAAAATAGGGTTGCTTACCAAATCAATGGTAAGACAACAATGTCAAAGGAAAATAAAATGAACAAGAAAGACATTTGAGTAGGTAGATTACTTTTACTTATTTGCTTCATTTCAAACAAATATCCTTGCTATTTTCAAAACAAACACACACATTTCCAAACATCTTACAAACATTGAAAACATTTTCAAAAAGACAAACATCCTTGTATACATTCTTACGAACGAGAATCATTACAAAGATTGCCTAAATAATGGCCTCTTTTATAAAATACTTTCAAAAAATCACACAAAAGCACAATTTCAAACAAAAGCAAGTGATCTAGCAAGTAACTAAGAGCCCATGGAAAACCATGGATGAAAAGGGTGCTAATACCTTCCCTTTTCATAATCTACCCCCCGAACTCAAGAAACAATCTCAAAGGTCTTTCCTGTGTTTTTTTACCTTTTCTTTTTGGATAAAAGAAAAGTCGGTGGCGACTCTTACTAACCGCAACATTTGCGATAAAATGCAAAAACAATCAAGTCAGTTCTCCCACCGTATCACAAGGTGTCTTGGTTAGGATTTGGATGTGAAGGTATATCTAGATGGATGTTCAATTATTAAGCAAGTATTCACTACAGGGATTACCTTTTTTGATGCATCAGATCTTTATGGACACTATCATGATAATGAATTCATGCTTGGTAAGGTAACATATTATCCAATAACTAATAATCTTTATCAACGCAAGCTCTATAACCCAATCTGAAATGAAGTACAAAACTCATTTTAGGAAAGGTCGTGCTGTCGTTGAAGACCGCAGTGATGTTAACAATGAAGGATGGGATTAGAATTGGTGGCATCAGAATTTCGATGAGATTAATGACGAAGAACGTATTCTCATCACCCTCAAGGTTTTTCCTCTCTACATTCCAATGATTTTTGTTTTGTTTTTTGTGCCTATTGTAAATCAATTGATGTTAATTAATGTTGAATGTTGTGGTAGTTTTAATGATTTTGATGCGAAAGAATCTTTATCTTAAAAGATTTGATTTCTCTCTGACTTATAAGGAATTGTCATGTGTAGAAACTCACG